CCTCCTTCAGGGTATGTTTCTGCTGTCACAATAGACAACGTGGGCAGCAGTGTGCAGGTCTAAGCCAATGAGTCTCAGCAAACCAGCAGCCGACTCCTGAGACTGAGGCAGATTTCTGGCTCCAAGTCCCAAGATGTGCTCCCTGTCCTCCTGCAGGGTTGAACTTTGCAAGGTTCTACTGCGGGTTCCAGCTGCCCTTCCCCTGAAGATAGTCCAGGTTCCGATGAGAGGTGATGATCCCTCCAACTTACCAAGTACAGTGGTCTGGTGTGCGTTTATTGCAGAGATTCTCTTCACTTTTCCAGTGGGCTTCAGTTTTCATCAAGGAGCCTGAGAGAGGCCCTCTTTCTGTTGTTCACTTCTGCTCTATCTTCTGGAGCTCAATGGCCTTTATGACCCCCTTTGCCTCTGGGGTGTGGATCCAGGAACAGGCACAGCCAGGAGGCCAGAGGGAGGGGGATGCTGGGGTGGCGCTGCAGGTACCCGTGCGGCCCTGCTCCTCACCCTCTTATTATTTTCATTCACTCCTATCCACACATTTTCCATGGACTCCTTTGCAGTGACTTTTGATTGCTTCTTGAGGTTACTATAACTATTTCAGGGTTCTTGATGTGATTAAATGGAGCCTTTCCAACAGAACTGCTGGAGGTGCCTAAGATGCAGATTGTTTAGCTTCTACTGCATCTGTAGATCTGGCTTCATCTGACAATAAGTGCAGTGCATCATGGGTTAGCAGGAGAGAAATTACTTCTCTCACACATAAGTTTAGGGACAGCAGTCTATGACTGGTAAGCAGCACCGTAAAGGCTTCTTGGATGAAGCCTGGCTTTTCACCCCTCTGGTATGCTAGGCCATATTTGTCTCTATGATCCAGTCAACTGGATGCACCCATGGCAAAGGGCAGCTAGGAAATCTAAGGCTTTCGTTGTACTCTGGATACATGGGCTGCCCAAATAAAATTCTGTACAGGGAATATGGTATGGGCAACTAGCAATCCTTAGTATCTACAAAATCCACTCCTAGGGCTTGGAAAGTTGCAGTCTACCCAGAACCATGAGTGGTTCTTATTTATATTAACTTTTGAGAAGCATTGTTCTGTCTTTTTCACTTTGTTACACCTGATAGCACACTTATCTTCTTAACCAACCTTCCTGGTCCTCATTCTCCCTCACTTTCCACAACCTCTCAGTTCCTTTCTCAGATTCGCAGTGCTTCCTTATTCTCTGAGAGAGACCTCAGCAGCCTCTCTTGGAGCCCACAGTGTGGGCACCAGAGTAATTGGCAGGACAGAGTCAGGATACTTTTGTTCCTGTTGGATACTTTGATTTCAAAAGGAAATGCTCAGTGTCATAAAATGTTAAAACTATTATGAGTTTGGACACAAATCAGGAAGCTATTTGATTTGATAATTATCCTCTTATACCTTCTGATTAGAGACAGCTTGTTGGACATACTTCACCTCTGAAATGAACAATGAGATAGGATTTTTCTTTAAAGGACTTTCCATTTATTAAGTGGAAACTACATATTTTCACCAAGACACCTTGACTGGACTAGCAATATGTAGATTAGTAATTCTCAAAGTAATTGGAAAACTAAGCACTATTTCATCTTAGTACTTTGACTTGGTTAGAGTAAAATTTGTATTTTGAATTTCAACTAACATTTATCAAGTGGGTCCATGAATATAAAATACAGATTCAAACACTGAAAAACTATATGAGAACAGTGATGAAAATTCCAAGGGAAGGTATCTCTGACTGGTATTTGTGATACTGCAGAATTCAGCACTTTCGTTATCAAATCTGAAGGAAAATGCTTCCATTAGCTGTAAAGAGATAAATAAGTTTGTGCATTTTCTTTAACTGAATGAGAATCCTCTAGGAAACATACATACCTTGTTGTTTCAAGGGCTCCTCAAGGTCGTTAGTGTTGGATACCTCCGAATAATAAGATAAACATTTTAAATCTTTGCCAACATGTGCGCTTTGTAGTTCATCCTTTGCATACGTAAGTGGTTGTGTGAACCTTTAAATATCTTTTCAGCCTATTTGAGCAGCACCGGGCTCTTTTTTTCTTTCTGATTGCTAAGATATCCAGTTATCATCAAAATTCCCTCCTTTAAAGAAGGAAGTAGTGCATTGTTTTAAGGGACACAACATTTTGAATCATTGGGAATGTGCTGTCCTGTGCCAGCAGCCGTGCTGATAACAAAGGCCTTACCTAGTAACAGGATGACTAATGCTCTTTGCCTGAGACGAGATTCCCTTAGATCCAGTGTAAAGCCAGAGGTGACATAGAGAAGTGGGGTGACTTTCACAGAATTAAGCTGTCTTTAGGGAAGCTACTCTTGGGCTCCTGGCACTGCTGAAAATTATTTCGGATATACAGAACACAAGCAGAAATGTCTACTCCAGCAAGTGTGTGGGTAACAGATTAGTCAGCACAAAAAATAACAGATCAGTTCAACAAGTCTGAGTAATTTCACCTTCCTGTGACTTTATTCTTTCGTCCATAAATCTAGAGAAATTGGACTAGATGATTTGGGATGTTTCCAGAAATCACTGGAATTAACTATGTAAACATTGCTGAAAGAGGCTGGTGTTGCTTAGAGTTCTCTCTGAACTGATAGGAACTTGTTCAGTAAACCTATTAAGTAGATGTTCTCCTGGGTTCTCCTAGGTTTTCCATTCTTACAAGCTTTCTGCACACACACACACACACCCCCACCCCTGGAGCAAACCTTATGCAACCTCTCTTTGTATTTTCTAAGTGTAGATTTCCTTCACCATCCAGCCCTTTCGGGCACGATCCCGCACTGATCCCTGCATTTTGATGAAGTGTCTCTTCTAATCTTTGATTACTTAATTGATCGGGTTTTTAAAAAATCTTATTTACAAGTCTTGAGAGTTCTTTATGTGTTTTTTCTCTGTAAATCTTTATCAGGCAGATGATCTACATTTTATCTCCCAGTTAACTTTCATTTGCTTAACTGCATAATTGATACTTTTTTGATTTGATGTATAATGTATTTTTTATTAAAAGCTTGGTTCCTGGTACAAGGGCTGTCAGGGAGTTTTGAATCCTAACCTTGGGATCAAAGGAAAATAAGCTAACATTCTTAAATCCTAGTGTCCCCCTCCTTGTGTCAAAAAGCTTTTTTGAGTAAAATTTAACATTGCTCGAATTAAAAAGCAACAGCCACTTAAGCTTAATAGTGTTTTGTAGCATTTGGATATTTATCCTTTTAGTCATTTGTCAGCCTATCATCTTTTCTCATTTGCAAGGAGGCTCCAAAGAATACTTTTATATAAATGTCTAGTTACCTTGAAATCTTAATCTTTTGACCATTTTTAATCTAAGACTACCACAATGAGGCTAGTTACTCTTGTTGCCATAGTCCTTTCATGTTCAGTCATTAAAATTTAAATAAATAGTTGGTAATAACACTGTTTAGAAAAGAATGAAGTCTGATATATTTTTAAATACCCATATAGTCTTTAATATACCTGTATAGTCACTCTGCAGAATAGTAATTGTGACTTTGACCACTTAGAGTACCCTGAGTGAGCATACCCTGTCTGGAATGCTAATTTTAGCTCAATGCTAATTTTTTAGAAATGTCAGTATTATCACCAAATGAAATACACAATTAAGCACAATAGCATGGTTTCACATGTGACTATGTATTATAATAAAATTTAGACCTTTGGATTATGATAATAACACTTCAGATAAAAATGCACGAAGAATTTTCACAAAGAAAATGCACATTTAGTTTATTTGTATAAGTTTGATAGTTGTTATACTATTCTTCTGTTATTCCATTAAGTAATATATAATATTGTATGATGGCATTGTAAAGTTTGGAGCAGAAACAATTCTCTAATTTGGAGTAGCTCTGCATCTGTGTTGATAAAATGTATCGATAAAATGTAGATAAATCTTGTTTTTCATCATGTGCTTTAACAGGAAAAGTGTCTTATCACATTGCCTTTATCATAGACAAAGTGTTATAAATCTGAGTGTTACATTAGTTACTTTTCATTTTTCCCTCTCAACCTAGTCATGAGTTTGACAAGCTGGAGGTATGAGCTCTAGAAGTCAAGGCAACTGCAAGATAGCTCAGAATCTTAAAGTATGGGCTCTAGGGAGTCAGAAAACCTAGATTAGTCCTGTCTTCTTTAGTTAGTATCACTGTGATTCAGACCAAGCAGCTTTTTGCCTGTCTTCTCATCTGTCAGATAAGTGTCTTTCCTAGGTGACAGATTAGTATGGTAACAGATAGTAAGAGAATGGTTTATAATCCCATCTTAATGCATCGATAGTATTAAATGAAGTAGCAGAATCTACGCAAAATGATAAATTATTTAAAAAGAACAATACTTAGAGAACTCTACACTTGATCCTTCTTATAATCAAGGAACCAGTTGTGATACATCTTGTTCTGAGACCCTTGATTTTCATGTGCCTGCTTCTTACAGGAGACCAATCTTGCAATTGAGTCAAAAGCAGTTATGGGCTAGATATGTGAAGGAAAGATGATTGAGAACATGCTCTACTTTATCTCTTGTCCAGTCCTAATCTCTTAGGCTGAAGTTTTAGCCATCTCCTTCCTGTAAGCTTCATTTCCTTATTTCTTCCTCTACTTCCAACTTTCAGTTTTTCTCAAATGCCTCTGTTCTCTTAGACCAAGAGAAGGAAGACCTGACAATCTTTTTAGCCCTCAGTACTGTCATATTGAAGTTTATGGTGAAGATGTGCATGCACAGAACCTAGAAGTCCTTAATTGTGTACTCAAGTAAATCCTCAGCCACTTCTGCTTTACAGATTGTGGTTCTGGGTAAATTTCCTTACTGTGTGCTTACTGTGTTATCTATGTTACTGTGAAATGGGAGATACTTGCTTATAGAATTATTCTTGGAGCAGATGGGGCCATAACCAGCGTATGACTTCATGAGTGTTACAAATGTTTAATCCCTTTTTATATTTATTTCTAGGTCAGGAGCGGTTTGGCAACATGACTCGAGTATACTACAAGGAAGCTGTTGGTGCTTTTGTCGTCTTTGATATATCAAGAGGTTCCACATTTGAGGCAGTGTTAAAATGGAAAAATGATCTGGATAGTAAAGTTCATCTTCCCAGTGGGAGCCCTATCCCTACTGTCCTCCTAGCTAACAAATGTGACCAGAGTCGGGACAGTGGCCATAATCCTTCTCAGATGGACCAGTTCTGCAAAGACCATGGCTTTTCTGGATGGTTTGAAACTTCTGCCAGGGTGAGATCTGCTTTGCTGATGAGTGTGCTTGTCTGTTTACCATCGGAGTTGTGACTAAAATATTTAGATGGATTTCTTTTAAACCCAGTAAAAGAAAAGCATAGCATAGATGTGTGGTAGCTTACCTCATTCTGTAGCAGGAGTGCTTTCAAAATATATTACTAGGGAAGTGAATAAAAGGGTAGAGTTTTGCCTTAAAATAAAAATGAATTGTTATTTAGAGGAACAATCAAATGACATTTTCTTTGAATTTGAGTTTTTCACTGAGGTACTTTTCGTGCTACTGAAGTGAGAGATAAGCTATATTATCAAGTACAAGCATTTTTTTCTTTCAAAAAAGGCTCAAAGAAATAAGGGGAGATGCCACTATATGAAGATGTATGAGATATGATCAGCAAATATTTAAATTAAAAAATGTATTACAGTGAAAGACACATTGCTATTAGTCCCCTCACAAGATACTCCTCCTCTTCAAACACACTTATCTCATTGTTCTGGCCATTTTCTGAAGCAGTTGTAGAAGTCCTCTTTCATGTCTTTAGTTTTGCTGTGAAACTTGCCTCAGTATCCTTCACCTCTTCAAAGACATTGACCTTCCAAGGTCATTGTGACTTTAGGGAAGAGTCACATGTCACCTGGTGCCAGACCTGGTAACTAAGGTAGAGGAGGACACACAGTAATATTTTTATGAACCTGCCTTTCCACTGGATGGCACTTGGCAGCAGCATTCACCATATTTTTTTTAATCACACCTCATAAAGACACTCTAGAACTGCTTCTGAAAGAGGCAAGAAGAATGAGACAATCAAGTTCAAAGTGAGAAGGAGCATTTTGAGGGTAATTAATGGCAATGTGTGGAACAGTTTTTTTTTTTTACTGTAGTACAGTTTTTTATTGAGACACTTGCCATATAATTTATCATACCTCCTATGTCATACGCAACGTGAACAAAGTTGAATGCTCAACAAGTAGATTTACTGAGATGTTTGTAAAGCTTTATATCAACTCTGTATGAAAGATTTGAACAAGAGCAAAATGTCAACATTTGTAAAGTGCTTCATAAGTACTAATTTTTTTCCTTACTAATTGGGAATTGGATAAAATATGTTGTGAAAGAAAAAACACTGATGAAGATTTTGAAAATCTTAACCATCTAGATATACAAGAAAGCAAAGGTGAATTTCAGAAGTACAAAATATTGGAGGGTTCAGTGCACTGGAAGTTTCATATGAGAGGCTTAAATGACAAAATCAGACATATAAAATGAAATGTTTGACAAATTCTAACTAGAGAAACAGTAAGTCTTACATTTGTGTATTCATGACACAGTTCCAGCTTTAATATGTGCTGTGTGGAGCTCTTGTAAATACATGTTCAAGTATCATCGTTCCTGTGGTCATTCCCCTCACTCTGGAGACTTACAGTAGTAACAGGTGACTCTTGGCTGTGCAGGAAACTAACCCTCAAAGTGCAAGAGTATTAGACACCACTGGTGGTCAGAGTGCTGAAAGCAAAAGAAGCGACAGCATGGAGGGCAGCCTCAGAATTCTGGGTGAAGGTGGAGTCCCTGGAGGGAAAGAATGTATCCTGGGGATAGGGGTAGTGCTCCTAAACTACATGGTTACAACATCTGATTTATTTTTTTATAATTTTTTCTTTTATGAAAAAATAAACCAAAATTTCATAACAAAATAATAACAGAATAACCATAGCTAATACACTGTCTATCATTACCTTCAGAATAGTTAGAGGTGCTGCATGAACACTTAGCCTGCCAGAGGAGAAGGAAAGGCGTGTAAGAGACAAGGACTTGGCCTAGGCAGCCAGGCTTCTGTCTGCTGAGTGATGTGCCGTCACTTTTCTAGCTTCATTGAAAAAAAAAAAAAATAGCAGCATATGTAAATGTGTATGTGAGCATGTAGTTTGGTTGGAGGTATTCTGCATTCCAAATAAAATACCACTTTAGGCTTAATTTGAATAAATCTTAATTATAAAAATCTAACGTTTCGGCCAGAATCCACATGTAAGATTTATAAATGATGTCATATGGTCTATAATTTGAGAACGTATAAGTGATCAGCTTTATTTTATTTATGGATGAGATTACATGTAGAGGTTAGAGGATAAAATTGGTTTAAAGATGCAGGTATGTTCTGTGCATCCCTACAAATATATTGGAAACAACTTCTGAAGAATTTCCTATGTAATATAGTGGAAATTTTCAGAGTATAACAGTAATATAAATTCTAAGTTAAAAATCTGCGGTCCAGGACTTAAACTACTTCCTATATGTGACCAATAGATATACTAGATATACATACACACATACATGCATACACAGATTTATAGAGAAGTAGGTATAGAAGTATAAATGTATATGTACATGTATTTACTACTCTATCTGTTCAGAGAGGGCTTAGAAATAAGGCTACCATAAAAATGAATGAACTTTCTTAGTGCTTAGAATTTGTTGTTATTGCTGGTGATTGAACCCAGGACCTCATGCATGCCAGGCAAGTGCTCTAACACTGAGCCATGGTCCTGGTTCCAGAATGTGGTTTTTAAATATAGTTTTCCAGTAAGCAGAAAGAAGATACTTAGGAAAATAACTGATTCTACAGCTAGTGCAACTAGAAAGTTAAGATTGCCTGAGATATTTTGTGGTGCCAGAACCTAAAGAAGCAGTCAAGGAAATGATGGAGACATGTCACAAAGACACAGGAGCTTCTCTATAGCAGCTTTAAAAATCCAAAGCAATTGAGCATCGAAGTAAAAGTTAACTCCTAGAATTAAATAACCCATGATGTGCACAAACAAATGTCAAATACCTGGAGAACAGAATCATTTTCTAAAAGAATCCCAACTAACAATTACAGAAAGTAAATAAAAGGTTGCCATGAAACACCATGTTAATAATTGTTTTACAGGAGAATTAATAGGTGCTGGAATTGGTGAGGAAAAGGATGGCGAGAAATAGGAAACTTAACATAAGTGTGCTTACTAAGTACACAAGAAAAACTCATAGGTGAGAGGCCTGGCAGCCATGACGTTAGTGAGTTTCCTGATACTCTGAGAAGGACACAGACTCCTGTCTTGCTCCTGCCAAGAATGTAAAACGAATTTAATTGTAGTGAAATATTAACAGACCCAGATTGAGAGAGATTTTCTGGTTAGTGCTCCCTGCAAGTATCACAGTCACAGACTACAAAGAAACTGAGTTCCTGTTCCCGATTGAACGTGGGCAACGTGACAACAAAATACAACTTCTGATGCTGCTCCAGAAAAAGGCCCTGAGATAGCTGGGGAAATTGAAACAGGGTTGACATGATACTGTTGCCTAATTTCCTGATTTCTGTGCCTGCACTGTGGTTGTGTAAGCTGTTGATCTTTGAGGAATATGGATGAAGGTTAGGAAGGAAATTTTATTACATTTTGCAGTGTTGTTGGAGATGTGACGTTATTTTAAATGGTGAGCAATAGTATTTTATATGTGTTGTCAGTTGTGAGTTTTGGGAAGATTTATGCAAAAGCCACACAATTGCTGTAGAGCTAATGATTCTTAGGGTTTCCTTAATGGCCACCACACAACATGATTTTAGGCTAATTATGCATGATAATTAAAAGTATTAATTTGTACTTACAGATGGAAGAGCAACATGACGCATTTAACATATTCGGATGTGGTTTAAGTCCTTTTTACATTTTTCTTCAAAGAGCATCTTGAATTCTTTAGGTATAAATTCAAGGGCAGAGATTTCCCAATCTGAATGCTTTCAACTGTACATAGTAACCTAGAACAGGTTGGCTCGTTTTCAACCATCAAGATAACTCTCTGAACCTAAGTGGCCAAAGTTTAAAACAGGAACATCAAAAAAGATAAATCCATGGTTAGAAAAACAAAATAAAAAGAATTCTTCCTGCAGCCACGTGACTCCATAATGTTGAACTCAGTATGCAGGCATTTGAATATTAGAGAATATGGTAGCTGGTTACTTAGTGTCCCCTCTGACATTTCCCTCTATACTCTTAACACATTCTTCTGAGAACTGACGCAACGGTAGCATTGATCCTACTCTTCGCTTCTGTGTTACAGGATAATATAAACATAGAAGAAGCTGCTCACTTGCTGGTGGAGAATATTCTTGCAAACTGTAAGAACTTTCCTAGTGAAGACAGCGATGTGGACAAAATTAAACTGGATCAGGAGACCTTGATGGGAGAGCGTAGAGCACAGTGCTGCTAGTTGGCCTTTGCTTTCCCTGTTCCTGCCTCAGTCCTGAGTACGTGCTGAGGATGGTCAGGTGTTGCTATGGGCTGTGAATCTCCCACCTGTGTCCTTCACAGTCCAGTTCCACAAGGCTTCTCTGGCCATTTAAAAGCAGAACAGGTGGAGAAGTAACCCCACTCATGTTTCTGTGACTTAACAGATGACCCTAGGCTTTTGTTGCTGTCACCATCCTGTGGAGGATAATATTTACATCCTTTTAAACATCTTTGTAAGTGACTTCCTAGTTGAAGTTTTTAGTGTAAGCACTGAGGTGGTAAGAGAACTCCCCTGCAGTGCTCCTATAATGTTGAGTCTGTATCTTCGTTTCCATAGTCCATCTTCACTCTTCAAGAGATTTTTAGACGCTGTTAGCCACAGGCACTCGAAGTTATTGTTTAGAAACTATTTTCTATTCAAAACTAGGGTACTTTGTATAAATTTTTTTTCCCTTAAATGTCGTGAGTCCACCAGTCATGGCTGGTGTGGCATGTGGTCACACCTCTTAAAACTGTTGTTACCCTTTCTAATGTCTCAGAAAAGGATTCCTGCCAAGTCTGTACTGTGGAGGTCTCCTTCTGGACCACTTGCTACCACTTGGAAACAATATAAATGAATGTTTTTTCTCTCTCCCTAGTCCTGTCTCTTCTCTCTTCAGTGTCTTTATGTTTGCAACCAAGGGCCTTATTGATATTACTATGCCATTTCTCTCTTCCTAGAGTTGAAGAGTACTTTTCAAGAGTACTTTTCTGATCTGTAATGGTTATAGTCAAGAAGAGAATTTATTTGAAAGCACTTACAATTAAATCTGAGCTTCTGAAGTACAAATTGTGAAAGAAATTAGGTCATGTATGATTTTATATAAAATTTGGGACATTTATAGTGTAATGGTTGAAAACTTCATCAATGTTTTATTGTCATTAAACCCAGTGAAGGAAAAGAATAAATATTTTAAGTGAAATGTGTGGCCTGTCTTGAATTAATGTACTATAAGAAGCTATTTTTCTGCCTTAGAACATTTTATTTACTTCTTTTAATTTTTAAGGGGCTTAATTATGTGAAAGATCTAACTTACTTCTTTCAAAGAAATGTTAAGGATGTTTATGTCCTAAGTCAGAGCTAATGCAAAATGAGACATTGACAAGTTTGCCGCAGGAAAGATCCACACATTTGCCGAAAACAAGAGAAGAACCAACTGTATTTTCTCTGACAGGTATGATCTGAGAATAAATAGAAGTTGTCATAGGCCAGAAATATAGCCCTATATTCTCATTAAACCTGAGTCTTGCCTACAAAGCACAAGTTTGTTTATATACTATATATTTAAGTAAAAAGAAATCCTTTGAGTTCTTTTGACATCTCTTCTATGTGGGAGACTGCAATACTGTTTATGCCCAAAGCAGGCTGTAAGCAGCGCAAGCTGTAAAGAATTAACCCCACAACTGGCTTCTTTATAGATGTGTGTCTGGCTAAAGTCTATGTGCCGTGCAGAGTCAGAGTAACTCTCACCCAAATTCCATTCCCACAACTAAAACCTTAACTAGAAGGACAGTGTTGTAATTATAAACATACATTTTTCTATTCTGTTCCTAATTGGAGAATGCTTTGTCTTGTCTTTTATGAGCTTTGTTTACGTTAATTTCCATAGAAACCACACAACTGCCCATCCTCACATGTAGTTCTGCCCTTGCACATAGCTTGCCTTTACCCCAGTTGATTACCAGTAAAAATTAGTGGCTTAGACTTGCCAGCGCCTCTGTCAGTTCCACTGGCATTGGTTGTCCTGGCCTCTGCTTTCTGTCTCTTAGTTCTTAGTTTTTTTTTCCTCAGGCCTGCAATGTACACTGGGCAGGAGACTGCAGCCTACTGCAGAGGTTTCCAGTAACATTTCAGGGGTCACCAATATTATACATATAATCAGATTTCCTGAGGTGAAAGAATACAAGGTCTTGATTAATTAATACTTTTATTAATATAACTCATCTTTAAAATATTGAATCAAACTTTGCTTTCTAAGGCATATGTCATACTTTATTATTTTTTCTCCATGTGTAACATAACAGTTGAATTCAGGGTAATCTACATAAGTGGCTAAATGTAAGAAGAGAATATTTTGGTTCCATTGTTCACTTTGAAAAATAATTATATACACACACACAATGGCTTAGACACTGTACAGAATAATTTAGGAATGAAAGGATATGTATTTCTTCTTTACATGAGTCTTATATATTATAAAAATGGCAGTGTTTTAACCTGCTATGTATAGATCAGTAACCCACTAATGTTTCTTAAAGTGATTGCTATCAAAAGTGGTGATTTTTCCAGAAGTGTGTTTTGGGCTCCTGCGATATGCACATAAAGCAATTCAGTTGCTCCGTGAACATTCCCTAGACTTACTGTAGACTTGCTGAGTTAGTTTTCTATGGAAGGAACTCAGAGATACTTTTGCAGAAAATCTAATGTTTATTTTGAAAATATACACTAAGCAAATAGTAAAATGTTATTTACTTTAAAATCTATGGTATTGCTCAAAATATAAACACTCTTAAAATACACCACTTTCATTTCCACTTGCAAATCATTGTTATTAGAACTGACTTCCTTAAACAATGGAAAGGCAGTATAAATTTGCTTTCACCTACTGAACAGGACAAAACATTCTTACAGTTTTGACAGTCTGGACTAACCTTCCAGTATTGTTGCTACCACTGGTTAGTCATTTGGAAAAAAAATCATAATTCTGTCCCACTTCTTGCCAAAATTATACAATATGGAAATTAGCATAAATGAAAAAATAAAAGTATAAAATGTTCAGCTTGGAAGGAAACAGTGTAACAGTGTTGATGTGGATTTTAGAAAATCCTTTTGCATTCTCAAATACTGGAAACCAAAGAGAGAAAGACAGGTACATTGGATTACATCAAAATGTCTTATGCAACAAGCCTCTGTAAGCAAAATTATGTGCAATAGTTGAAAGAAAGTAGTGTATGTACAACCTGTCCAATTAGGTGAAGATTGATAAGCAGGATAAGAAAAACTCAGATAATTAGTAAAAATGGGCAAGTAATATAAAACCAGCAGTATTACCAAAGGGGTAATTCATGTGCCAAATATTAGTAAGCTGTAATCTTTAGAAATAAAAAACTTGTCAGATTCATAGAAAGTACTTGTTTGATTGTATCCTTGATTTTGCCGAACAAACAGGAAAATAGGTGTTTGTAATCTGCTGTTAAGACTAAATTTATCTTAATAGATATTACCAAGTTACCTTCTAAAACTGCTATTCTGTTTTCACTTTTAGTCCATATCTTGCCCAGAAGTGAAACTGTGATTGTTAGGGAAGTAAAATTAAAAAGCAAAATTCCTTCCCAACTCAGAGAACCTCTCTGTAAAGATTGAAGATAAAGAAAACTTTTATCATTGCATATTGAATAAGTATTAAACCAAAATGTCATATGCATTATAGGCAATTCAGTGAGACTACAAAGACAGGAGGAAATTTCACTCATATAGCCAGGACTGTTTAACACATTACGTAACTATTTAAAAAAATAAAAAACAGAACAGAACTGGCCCTCCCTCCAGAGGATTTGGCACTGTGTGTGACACATGGTTCATCTCACATCCACTTGGTGATTGCTATGATCATGAGTTGTAGGTAATTGGTTTTATCTATGGGAAAAATCAACTTTTCATCTCGTCATTACAAGAGTTTTGTGACTTGGTGCAAGATACTAAAGGTAGGCTTCTAGAGGTGAAATGTGCTCTATTTCAGAGATGGTTCTCAGAACTTGAGAAAGTTGGTGAGAAACGAATTTAGCTCATAAAAAGATTTGTACACATTTCAAAGAGAATGAACTGAAAGTTTTCTAATGTAAATATTCTGAGGAAAGGAGAATTAGTCTTTCATTTTTAATTTATATCTTCACTTACCACCAACCCTGAATAAACATGTGCTTGTGTATACAAAGAAGTCCATGCACTGCAGCATTGTTCCTATATACTTTGTACTTCATGAAAAAAATTAGAAATAATCTAAATGCTCCTCTAAACAAAAACAAAATGGACAATTATATATCCACCCTAGGGGGTACTGTGTAGCAGTATGGGGGCATTGCTGTTAAAGTATGTGTTAAGAGGGCCAGGGATTTAGCTCAGGGGTTTCACCACCTGCTGTGCAAGTTCAAGGACCCAAGTTCTATCCCCCCGTACCAAAAAAACAAAACAAAACAAAAAAAATATGTGTTAAGAATTTAAAGGTTTTGTGAACCACATGGAAAGATAAATACTGAATTCCTAATTGCAGCTGTCTCAGAGAAGTTTGGAATTGGGATAAATTGGTTAAAATAGACTTTAGCTTTTTAGACAGTGTTTATATGTTTATGCCAATGGATGACAGATGTTAGTAACAATTCATATTACACTGGTCACTATGCTTGCTACAACTGTCATTAAAATGAAAAGGAGCGTTCTCGTTTGGAACACACTGCTTTAAACAAAAGCTAGTTCCATCCGTCTTTTCACTGCATTAAATAACATCACCAATGATTTTATTCTTTTTGGATTTTAAATGTATTAGTTTTTTTAACAAATCAAATAACTTCTTAAAGATTAATAGCTCTAATATCCAGCTCAGAGTACATCTACATTTGCATGGAGTCAGTATTTTGTTCCTGCTCACTCTAGCCAGTGTTCAAGAATAGACAACTGGCGACTATGAAGGAGGCTTTATCTGTAATCCCAGGACTCTGGGAGGCTGAGATAGGAGGGTCACAAGTTTGAGCTAAGCCTGGGCAACTTAGCAAGATCTTGTCTCAAAATAAAAAAAATTTTTTTTAAGTCTATGGATGTAGCTCTGTGAAGGCTCTGATTTCAACACCCAGTAACATCAAAAATAATTTTTTAAAGAGTAAGATTTATGTACATGTAAAATCATGAACTACACATTTATATTCCATTCCATTTTGAAAGATGAACATAGAGTAGCATGATTGAAGAAGGGGTTTGGGGTGGAGCTTAGCAGCAGAGTAATTGCCTAGTGTGTGCAAAGTCAAGGATTCAATCTCCATCACTACCAAAAAAAAACCAACAAAGATAAATTCTTCTGATTTTTCAAGTTGTGCCTGTATATGAGAGGCAGAAGAGTTATAGAAGTATGGGTTGTGAAGGTTGGGATTAGAGGTGAAGAACTCCTGGATCTATTTTCACGTCTGTATTTCAACCCACAGGCTGTAGAAGTCGTTAAACACCACTGACATCGTCCAACAGGTCCATCAGCATTTCCCACACCAAATTCACTATTTTCCCATCTTCTTCTGACAAATGTGCTCTTAAAGTTTAAGTGTTTATACTTTACAATCTAAATTATAATTCCATTTACTCTAAAACAAAATGAGATGCTGTCTTAGTGAAATGATCATTTGATTGAATTTGTCAGACCACAGTAAATTTATAGCTTGCATTTATAAAAACTTTGTATCTTTAGTACAGCATCAGACAAGCTGTTAAAGTATGGTTAAGACCAATTTGTATAAGAGCATATAGAGCTTTAACATGGAACACGGAAATTGACTTAAATGAGAATAGTCATGGGGATTGAAACTAGCTTCAATTTCAGTTCAAGGTACTGTTTGGTCTACCTGTAAAGATTAATTTCTGTGGATTTCTTTTGTATTGATTATAAACTTTTAAGTACTGTACTCTCCCAAAACCCTTTCTGTTAAAGAAGTTTAGTGTTGTAAAGTACTATAGCACTTTGTGCTATTTCGATTCAGAATAATTTTAATAGCTAGCAATATAGTCTTAATTTTTCACAGCATAATACCTTTAAAATTGACTGTGTGCTCTACACTATTTTATGGTACTATTTAAACATTTTTCTATCTAATTCTATTACCAGGATGATGATTTAATGACAAGTTTTATGCATGTTGGCAACAACGTACAATATGGATAATT